TGCTCTGCCCCGCAGCCCAGCTCAGTGAGTGTGAGAGCAGCTTCCTGGAGCTGAGGAGGTGTGGGTCCTAGAAAAGACAATGCTCCGTGCTTCCTATCTCTCGGCAGTCCATCTCCTCTGGGAGAGAATGGCCCCTGAGAGATAGGGACCCAATTGTGCTGCATCAGCCCATGAAGATGTCATAGAATCACCATGTGGCATTGACGGGTTGGATGAATAAGTGAACACACACAGGAGGTCCATGAAATGCATACCAAAGTGGGCCTGATGGATGGATTCCAGTGCATCCCTGCGCCTGGGGTGGGGGTGCAGGCCCATCTCCAGTATTCCCGGAAGAATAGCATCAAGCCAGACGGTGTTGGGAAAGATGCCTCTGTTTGCTGTTTCTTCCCCATAATCTCTGTAACACTGAACCTCACAGAGACTATTGTGTGTACTCCCCTCACCTAGGTGATAATTTTCATAAAATGGTGCTCTCTTCCTGTCTCTAGGCTGCCTTGTGTTTATTCGTTCTTAGGAGTTATTTATTAATTTGAAAGGCAGAGTGACAGTGAGAGAGACAACAGAATCTTCTATCTGCTGGTTCACTCCCCCACATGCCTGCAATAACCTGGGGCTGGGCCAGACCAAAGCTGGGAGCCTGGAACACCACAGGGTGGCAGAGACTTGAGTACTTGAGCCATCTTCTGCTGCTTCCCAGGTACTTCAGCAGGAAGCTGGATTGGAAGTGGAACAACTGGGACACAAACTCCCACTCCAGCATAGGATGCACATCTGAGGGGTGACTCACCTGCTGTGCCATAGTGTCTGCCCCTTCCTGGTGTTTGAAATGGGCCCATTTTCCAGACACCCTGTTCCAGAGAAAGGAAGGATGCCTGTGACCATGGTACTCTTTTCACCTTGGTCCCAGACACATTTTGTGTTTACCTGGGGTGTGAGAATGTTGTGGATATGGAGCAGGTGCACCTTGCTCCCCTTGGTCGCCGTTTGTCTCCTGCCACTCGTGCCTCCCTGTCCTGGGGCAAGGGCCATCGTTGCCCCGTGCTCCTTCTCAGGAACGCTGCCTGCTGCCTGCTCTCCTTCTTGCTGTGCCCTGCAGGAGCTCTGGGCTCCTAGATGCATCAGGAGTGTGTCATTCCGGAGATGGTTTGGGCTGTGTGCAGCCGCCAGCGCCCTGGAACTCTATCATCATTTTGGAAAGCCACGTGTGGCTTCCTCAGACCAGTCGCGCCATGATGTATGGGGCATGAGGGATTCAGGATTCAGGCAGCACCTCCTGGGAGTGTCTGTGCTGATTCACTCTCTTCCGTGCCTTTCTCTGGAGTGAACTGTTCTTCCAAAGGCTTCATTTCTTTTGTGCAGGCCCAGGATTCACAGGCAGACAGACTTTGTGCGAAGCACAGGGCTTTGTGTGGGGCTTGTGTTTTGTGAGCTTATGGAAAAGGCATGCACTTGCTGGAGCCGGGGGAGGGGGAGCTGCTGGGGGTGGTGGTGTCAGGTCTGCCACCTGGGGCCAATTATCCCTCCCCTGCCCGCTTCTTCCTCTGCACGAGGCCCCCTGCCAGGTCCCTGCTGGCCCCTAGGGAAAGGCTTCCAAGCTGAGGGGCCTTGGCTATTTTCACAGCTAGAGATGGGCTCAGGAGAGCTGCGATTCTGCTGGGAAGAAGGGCCGAGTTTGTTGAAATTCTGTGCCTTGTGTCGTGGAACTGCTGTTTTTAGTTTTTCTTGGCTGCGGTGTGAGACTCCTGCTGCCGGAGAGGCTGAGCAGAAGGGGATAAACCTTGGCGATGACGCTCACGTTCCCTGAGTGATTTATGAAGGAGCGAGAATCTGTAATAAATTCCTGAATATAGAATTCAGGGGAGCATGACAGGTTTCTGTAATGAATGAAGTTTTCATTTTGGACCCTTAAGTAATTGAACTGAGTTGAATATTTTAAAATATCCCTGTTATTAAAGCCAGTTCTTTCAAAATCTAAAATAGACACAACATTAGTCACAATATTCTTTGTAATAAAAACAATAATGTATCTCCTAACAGCAGCAGGAGAGGAATTCAACTTTTATTTTAAGCTAAAACCCTTGCCTAAAAGAATTAAAAATGATTATGTTAAAAATAAAAAAATCCTAAAGAACATAGGGAAATAGGTTGTACTGAGAGTTGGATTAGCATTTTGTTTTAGAGTTTTTTCATTTTGGTTGAGAATGAAACATTTATTGATCTGACTGGAAAGTTAGGACCGAATCACCAGTTCTTCCTTGGGAAACTTTCTCAGGGAATTTTTCGGTTTTGACTTTGAGCTGTGAGGCGGTGCAGGGGCCGGGGAACAGCACGGATATTTGGCTACAGTGGTAGTTACTGAGCAGCGTTTCCCAGCTCCTGACTCAAGTTCACGGGTTCTGGAGAAATGTGCATTCATGATTCGGGAGCAGAGCATGAGGCTGTTTGTCCACCTGTTTTGAAATTAATTTTGAACCTCTGAGCTCTGCTTTGAAGGCGTGAATAAATTCAGTTGCTGTGGCCTTCCTGCCATAACCAGACAGTGACAGACCCGAGATCTTTCAGTTTGGCTTAGGAAATTGCTCCCCCAACCCTGCATGCCACACAGCCCTGCAGAGTGTCCAGACGCCAGGGTGATGGCGAGGCGGTTCTCTACCCACAACAAGCTCATTGTTGACGAGGAGAAATGAATTTTCACTTCTGGTGGGTGAGGCAGGGAAGGGCTGTTCTGTTGGACCATCAGTGCATGCACCGAATATGTCCATGTATATCTTCTATCTCCCATATTTATTTATTACTAGTAAATTAAGTGTATTTGTTTTCTGTTACCACATCACAAATGATCATACACTTAGTCGCTTAAAACCACACCTTTTTTTTAAAAAAAAATTTATTTATTTGAAAGGAAGAGTTACAGGGAGGCAGAGGCAGAGAGAGAAAGGTCTTTTATCCGTGGGTTCACTCCCTAAATGGGCGCAGTGGGTAGGGCTGGGCTGATCTGAAGCAAGGTCTTCTTCCAGGTCTCCCACGTGGGTGCAGGGGCCAAAACACTTGGGCCATCTTGCTATCTTCTGCTGCTTTCCCAAGTCATAGCAGGGAGCTGGATTGGAAGTGGGGCACCTGGGTCTTGAACCAGTGCCCATATGCGATGTTGGCACTGCAGGCAGCAGCTTTACCCGCTACACCACGGCACTGGCCTCAACACCCATTTTCCCCCCCTAAAGAAACCTTTTATTTAAGGAATACAGACTTCATGCATTTCAAAAGTACACCTTTAGGAACACAGTGATTCGTCCCACCATACCCACCCTCCCAGCCCACTCTCCCACCCCTCCTCCTCCTCCCTCTCCCTTTCCCATTTTCTAATCTCACAGTTTCTGGCTCTCAGGGCTGTGGTGGAGGCACTGGCTTGGCTGTGTTCTCCCTGGAGGTCCGAGTGGGAAGGAGTCTGCCTTCAGGCTCATACTAGTTCTAGACAGACTTCGTTTGCTTCTAGCTGTAAGACAGATGTCCCTGTTTCCTTGCCCGCTGTCAGCCGAGTACTGACCTCAGCTACTGGAGCCCCCGTGGACCCTGGCTGTGTGGCCCCCCTCCCATGGGCTGGGCCAGAAGCCGGCAGCTCACTTCTTTAGAGCCACTATGGGAGCCCCTCGCCGACTAGCCGCAGATACGGAATTGTACACAGCAAGGCCTGAGCCAGGCGGTGGCCACTTTTGCCCTACTCTGTGGGTTGGCAGCAAGTCTCGGGTCCTGCCTGCACTTGAGGGTGTGATGGGTCATGCCTACTGGGTGATGCTTCTGGTTATTGCACTGACTTGTGTTCCCTGAGAGATCTGAACGTTTGAGTCCCTGGAAGACTGATGAGAACTATCCTGGTTGAGGAATCCAGACTAAGATCTAGAAAATCAGAAGTGCATTGTTTTCTTCTCTTAGTAGATAGAAAACAGGAAAAAGATGTCCGTGGAGCCACGATACTGATAGAAAGGAGTTGGGTGAAAACGGTCGGGTGCGTGGCTCATGGGGTTTGGGGTGGACGTCCATAGGAATCTCACCGGGTCCCCTCGCCGGATGTGGTTATTTCGCATCCTGGTGTGTTGGCGTTGGCTGGTGGTTCAGGAGTGACATATGGCAGGAACGTGCCTTGAGGAGCATGTCTCCTGGAGTGCATGAGCTAGACAGATGGTGGCTCATTCAACCTTGGGCACGAGCGTGTCCTCCACACCGGCGGTCTGGGTATCAGAGGCAGAGCAGTCAGCTGCTGAGGCCTGGCCTGGCCCCACCTGGGAGGCTGTGGCGCGCATAGAGTGTATGCTAAGTTGGGTTGAGGATGCTGGCGGCAAGTGGTGGGCACTGCACAAAGTCTGGAGCACCAAAGCGAGGGATGCCCCCGCAGAGTAGAGGCCACACAGGGTCACGCACACGACCCTCCTGGCAGGCCCTCTGCTATTGTAGGGATTGCTGCTCCCACCAGATGCATTTTGGGAGAGGAAGCAGGTGCAGCAGGGCCTGTCTCCCTGCAGGTAAAGATTGGATGGCTCCGCCTGCTGTGTTGTCTCAGAGCATTTGCATTGTTAAGAAAATGGCCTTTTCACAGACTGACTTGGGACGTCTGAATTAGCAAGAACAAGGTACCCACTCCACAAGGACGCTGTCCATTGGGTGTCCGTGGCCTCTCGCTGCAGGAAAGATGCATGTCTTTGGGGGAACGAGTGCGTGTCCTCTGACTGAAACGAGCACTCCATGGGGCCCTGTGGCTGCCAGCCGCCGGGAGGGGGATCTTGTCCCAGTTTAGTCACATCCCTTACCCCAGATTTTTTGCTATAATTATTCACTCGTCATTCCCTTTATTACTTGACGCCTATCTTTCTATTTTTATTTTATTCATCTTGATATTTGTGCCTTTTACTGGGACAGCCCTCAAATATATTTTTTGAAACTTAGGGAGGGTTGCTAATGCATTCAGGTAAACTGAAATCCCTTTTCTCTTCCTTTCCGGGCAGCTCCAGCTCCACGCTTGCGACCTCGGACCTCTCTGTCCCGTCGGGCGGATTTCAAGCTCTGACATCAGTCTTCCGGCCCTTTGAACGGTGAGTGGCGTCTGTGCCTCTCGGCTCCTCACTGCGCGCGCCTGTCCGGGAGAGGTCGCCTCCTGGTTGGCTGCGTCCGCGTTTGGCGCTCTCGCGCCTTTGTGCGCAAGTTTCCTTCTGCGGGAGGCTGAAGTGTACGTGGCGGAGGCTGAAGTGTACGTGGCTGAGGCTGTGGGTGTGTGGAGCTTAGCTGGCTAAGCCGTGCGTTCTGGTCACCTCCGGAGCCCACCGCAGGGTCAGCCCTAGGTCTGGGAGGGGTCCCGGAGAATCCTCCCGGCCCCCGCGCGTCCACCGTCCACTTTCCACATGAGGCACACCCCTTCCCCTCGCCAGGCCTCTGTTTGGTAACTCTTAAGTGATTTTGGTGATTCCTGACCTGCCTGATTAATTGTCAGGCTTCATTTGGTGTCAGGGAACGTCCAATTACAGAAATACACGAGAAGCTTCCAGAAGATAAGACATGCTATCAAGCATAAGATAGAAACTTTTTATAAATTGTTAACACGCCAGGTGGTATGACTCACGGTATGGCAACTCTCTGACTAGAATGTGAGCTTTATTAGTTTTATTCCCTCCTGTCACCCCTCCCCCACCTTCTAGAACAATCTGGCCGTGTCAAAGGAATTTCAGTTAAATTTTTGTCAAATGAAGTGAATTGATGAAGATCCCCCCTGGAGACCCTCAGGGCATAAGCAGGCCTTTCTTTTGTGGTTGCTGTTGGGGTGAGATGAGGCAGTTAGAGAAACATGGACAATTTAATGTGCATTTGCACACAGATCCTTGCAATTTAAAAAATTGTTGATTTATTTTTACTTATTTGAAAGGCAGAGAGGCAGAGACAGATAGAGATCTTCCATTTACTGGTCTACTCCCCAAATGCCCACAACAGCTGGGGCTGGGCCAGGCTGAAGCCAGGAGTCTGGAACTTCATCTAGATCTCTCAGATGGGTGGCAACGGACCCGGGTACTTGCACTGTCACTGCTGCCTCCCAGGGTGCACGTTAGCAGCAAGCTCATGAGAAGCAGAGCTAGGTCTTGAATTCAGACACTTCGAAATGGGGGGTGGGCATCCCCAGTGCTGTGCTCACCACTGCACCCAACACCCTCCCCAAACAGACCACATTCCGGGTCAGTGCTGGGTGCAGCTCCTCTGAATGGCTGAGCTGAGGTAGCCCCCGTTGTGTTTCACTCCTGAGTGGATTTCACTGTTGTGGGTCTGAAAAGTCGGAGTCTGTTTGATTGGTGTTCATGGGGCGTGTGGGATGATTTCACAGCAGTGTGCCTCACAGACGCTCAGTGAGCTGATAAGATACTCCTTGTTCATGGGATCCCCATGAGACTGGCAGAGCAGCCTGATGTTTGAGAATCCCGTATCGTGGCTGGCTTGGGTGTGGATGAACTGCAGTGTTTTTCATCCCTGGTTTGGCGCAGCCGCGGTGAGCACGGAGTGGGAGGCAGCCGCGCATCTCCACCGGGGCGGGTGAAGGTGGAGGGCAGTTGGTTTTCTCTGCCTCGCCTCTTGTGCAGTCCCCATTGAATTTACTCAGCCAAACCTAAAGTTGTCTCCAAGTGGAATGTTTTACTGAGTAGCTGAACATACCAGTGCACTCTGCCCCCGAGGATCCTGGGACTTGGTTTTCAAAACTTTGGGAAAAGCAAAAGTACTTCTTGCAAATTATATAAGTACCTGATCTCCCCCTCTTCTACAGCGTTGCCTCATTCTGTCAGCTATTTAAAGCAGCTTTTCAAACTTGGTAATGGAAAACTTTTCTTGACTGCAGTACTGTGTGTGGATGTAAAATTAACCACAAAGCTGCAACGCTCCTGCCGAACTTCCCCGTATCTGCAGGAAGGACCACGTGCCGCCTGGAGCATCACGGGTAATTTTCAGGCACAGACTTGGATCCTGAGGTGTTGCAAGAACTTTCGCACCTCTAAAATAGGCTGTGACAGCTGAGGGTCCTGGAATGTGTATTTGCTGTGTTCCTTGTAAAATTCTGTCCCTTAAACAGCTTGCAGCTGGACTGTGAGACATTCCTAAGTGCTGATAGAATGGACAGGTGGCATTACCTCGCTTCTCTGTCGGCTTGCCTGGGAAAGGCCTCGGGCATTCACCACACAGCGTGCCTGTTTCTTTATGGCACATTTATTTGGGCTTGTTTCTAAAATGAGGTTGGGTCTCTATATTTAGGGTTTTTCTTTTTTCTTTTTATAAGATTTATTTATTTTATTCAAAAGTTTGCATGACAGAAAGAGAGACAGAGAGGCAGAGACAGAGGTAGAAATATCTTCGGTCTGCTGATTCACTCCCCAGATGCCCACAATGGCTAAAGCTAGGGCCAGGCTGGAGCCAGGAGGCAGGGACTCCACCTGGGGCTCTCATGTGGGTGGCAGGAAACCAGGTACTTGAGCCATCATCATCTGCTTCCTCCCACGTGGTTTAGCAGGAAACTGGATCATAGGTGCAGAGTAGCCAGGACTGGAGCCAGCCCTCTGACATGGGATGCAGACCTCACAAGCAGTTACAACAAAAACCCCTCCACCCCCCATATGATCAGGTTGTGGCTGCATGTGTGTTTAGATTTTAAGATGTGCCCCCCCTCCTTTAAAAAAAGATTTATTTATTTTGAAAGGCAGAGATATATCTATCTGTGTGTATGTGTGTGTGAGAGAGAGACACCAGAAGCCTGGAACTCCCTCTGGGTTTCTCAAGTGGGTGACAGGGGCCCAAGTACTAGGGCTAAGTACTAGGGCCATCATCTGCTGCCTTCCCAGGCACATTAACAGGAAGCTGCATTGGAAGTGGAGCAGCCGGGAATCGAACCAGTGCTCCGATATGGGATGCCAGTATCACCCACTGCACGACATCACCTGCCCTGGCACAGCCCCTTCCCTGTACTGTGTCTGTCTGTAAGGTGCAGCCAGAAGACACAGATTTTGCCCAGTTCTTCCCCTGCCCCTTGGTCTGTTACCCTCTCTGAGTCTCAGCTTTCCTCCTTTGTAAATGGGGTACTGAGTTTCCTGTGGAATCATCAGAAGGTGCCTGATTCACCGCTGGAGGCCCAGCAGGTGCTGTGGGATGGAGGGAAGACTTTGAGAACTGTCTGGTGCAGTGGCCAGAGGGCCCTCAGGCTGAGGTGTGGCAGCTGGTAGGGAAGAATCCCCCCCACACTTTGGGTCTCCTTCAACGCCCTTAGGGGGCTGGAGTAGATGGTGCAGGCCGAGGTGTTGTTGAGTTTTCTGCTGAGTATGTATTTAGATTGGGCCTCCTCTCCGGTTCTGAAGGCACAGCCCCTTTGCTGTACCATGCTGTGCCCTTTGTCCCTTCATGTGAGACCTGGAGTCCCAGTGGAGAGTGCTCTGTAATGAAAATGTAGCCTAGACAGAGAGTGGTCTTCATCCGCTGTTTCACTCCCCCCATTAGCTGCAATGGCTGGAGCTGCGCCAATCCGAAGCTAGGAGCCAGGAACTTCTTCCAGGTCTCCCACGTGGGTGCAGGGGCCCAAGCTCTTGAACCATCTTCTACTGCTTTCCCAGGCCACAGCATAGAGCTGGAGTGGAAGAGGAAGAGCTGGGACACAAACCGGCACCCACTTGGGATGCCAGCGCCACAGGTGGAGGGTTAGCCCACCATGCCACAGAACTGGCCCCAGTCATGTTCTTTTTCCCTGATGTGTATACAAAGGTACAGTAAGAGAGATTAAATCATGAAAATGTGATCAGACCAGAGCAGTCGGAGCTGTGCTTTAAGTGACATCTTGTACCTGGGGTTCCTTGACTTGCAGGAGAATGTAAACTCCACCTTAATGTTAAGATGCAGGAGCAGCTGTGTGGTGGCGGGCGGAGCCCCTGCCAGCCATCTAGGTTGTCATCAGGGATGACAAGGCCGCCGGTGCTGGGAGTCCAGGGAGAGCCTGTAGGTGTGTTGGTTCAGGGGTTCCCTGGGTTCCTGAGCTTTTTGGGCTACAGTCAGATGCTCCTCTTCTCCTCTCCCTGCCTCCCTCCTGCCTGACCCGTGTCTGTGTTGTGTCCGGGGACTCAGCTCCCGAGCTGCATCTCACCACTTCCCCGCAAGCTTCCACTCCAAGATGGAGAAAAGACAGAAACAGAGCAAGGGTGTGCAGGGTGCTGTGTGAGCAGGCGTCCAGGCTGCGACAGAAACAACCTGCTATACAGATAAAGCCAGCAGGTGGGAACTCTCAGAGACTGGGGGGGAGCGTCTTCGACCCGGGGGCCTGGGGCCAGGGGAGTTTTCTCAGCGGGCGTCTTGGGTTCCGTCCTCTGTCGCGAGGTTCCGTTGCATTCCCGCGACGTGGATGAGCACCTTTGCATTTTGTCTTAAACTGAAGCGTGCTAGCAGTGTTGTCAGTCGGTGCCTAGCACAGTATTGTCAAACTGCTAAAAAGCCAGCGAATTTTCCACCTAAAAAATCTTGTGGGGGAGGCTTGGGTGGAGGTGTAGGGAGAATAGTATAAAAATAACCCTTTCAGAGATTCTGGGTTGCTCGGCAGTGTGTGTGTGTGTGTGTGTGTGTGTGTGTGTGTTTTTCCATGGTGCGGGAGGTTGGAAATAGCATTGCTTTTTATGGGATTCGCAGCAGCAGCTTGGGAGTTTGGCTCGCTCAGCTTGGTCTCTTTCTGTGGGTGAGGCGAGGTTTGCAGTGCTGTGTGGCACCTCCTCGGCCCCCACTCGGTGTCGCCCGATGCACAGCCCTTGAGCATAAAACGCGCTCTGCGAAGGTCAGGGTGTTGTGATGACCTCGCCTGTGGCCCCTGATGCCAGTTGTGATGTCCGACGTCCATCTCAGTGGTCCCGGACTCCGGAAAGTCACTTTCATGACTCTGGGAGGGCGGGCGCTGGGAGGGGCGGCTGGCAGAGACCCGGGATCCCCTCCCTCCTTGAGTCCTCCTGTGAGCCTGGTGCTTGGGGCACCCTTTCAAAAGGAGTCCTTGCAGATTCTTGGAGTTTGTCCAGTTACATAATGCTCACAAATAGGAGGCAGGTCGCCAAGAAGGTTTTCTCAAATCCCACACGGAAAGGCAGGGGTCAGGCATGGGGACTGGGATTTGTGAGCCTCCAGGGCTTGTGAAGTTTTGCCTGTTCCTGGGGGAGAATGTCGGCTCTGATGGGATTCTCTGTGAGGTTTTGACCTCCCAAAAGGTTAAGAGCACCGGCAGTACAGCACGAGGTGTGAAGCGCGTTTGACTTGGATTGACTTGGAGAAATCATTTTTAGTGATCGCCAGACTGGAAGTGTCAGGAGCGTGCAGGAGCAGGGGGAGGGGAGGAACTCAGCAATAAACAGGGCAACCTAACAACACAAAAAGGGGCCTGGAGGGGGGCTGCTGCACCTTTTTTTTTTTTTGGTGAGCTTCCTTGAACTTCATACAACATACGTTGTGGCAGGTGCGATTCTGCTGAAGGCTGCTTGGTGACGCTTGGTTAACTTGGCAGGCCCAGGGCTGGGCAGAGGTGCTCAGAGCTGGCCAGACATGTACGGGTATCTGGGGTGCATCTGGGCCCAGCCTGACAATTGGTACACGGTTGCCTGCTTCTTTTCCTAGGTCTGGTTTTCCTCCAGGAAAGTCAAGGTAGTGTACTTGTCCTGGAGACTGGGGATTTGGCTTTCACGGCCCACTGCAGGATTGGGGGCTGCTCCAGGGCCTTCAGTCTGACCAGGCCGGTCACGTTTGGGAGGTGGAATTGCTGACCATGTTTATGGATAACTTACAACTCCACAGTATTGTAGCTGCCTGGTAATCATGTTGGAGGTGCTTTGGGCAGGTCAGGAGTGGTACTGGCCCTGCATGGGCCATGAAGTCCATGTTGGAACAGATTTTCCTTTTTCTGTTGAGTCTACAAATGGAGCCCAAGAAAGCCGTGCTGCTGCCTCCTGGTCTTCCGGAGCGCAGAGCCGAGACCGTCCTTTGGAGATGGGGCGTTGGGTGGGGAGGACTTGGCCTCCGTGCTCTGCAGCTGAAGTCTGCATTTCCTTGTCAGGAGTTCCAAAGCTGCGACCTGTTCCGCAGGTGTGAACGTGTGACCTGTGCATTACGTTCCAAGGACAGTGCTGTGGTAGGCTTTACTTCTAGACATCTGTGGAGCAGCACTGACCCAGTGCAATGATGGGGCAAGGAGGCCCCTGTGCCTGTGGAATCAGTCTGGACACGGGGACACCTGCCCCCTCACCTACTGGGTACTCCTGCAATAACAAAATGTGCTGATATTCTTGAGTTGCTTGAGAAAAAAAATGTTTTAAGTGGGTTTGTGAAGTAGTTCTTGGTGCTTGGATGCACGGGTGCTTGTGAGCCATCATTAAAGGAACTTGTCACCACTTAGTATTGTGGCACTTAAGTCAGTTTTTTGATCTTTGATTGTCAGACTTCTGTCCCTCTTTTCCCCCATAACATTGTAGTAAAATATACACAGCACAAATAAACAGGAAGCCCTGTGTCTTGCTGGTGGAAATGTAAAGTGGTTCACCTGCTAAGGAAAACAGTATGAGGGCCAGGCGAAGCCTTCTACTTGTGGCACTGGTATCCCCTTTGAACACTGGTTCGTGTCCCGACTGTCCCTTTTCCAATCCAGCTCTCTGTTTGTGGCTTGGGAAAACAGTGGAGGGTGGCCCAGGTGCTTGGGCCCCTGCACCCATGTTGGGGACCTGGAGGGAGATCCTGGCTCCTGGCTTCTGATCAGCCCAGCTCTGGCCGTTGCAGCCATTTCGGGAGTGAACCAGTAGATGGAAAACCTCTCTCTCTTTCTCTCTCTCTCTCTCTCTCTCTCTCTCTCTCTGTGTATGTGTCTGTAGCTCTGCCTCTCAAATAAATAAATAAAACATTTAAAAAAGGGAGAAAACAGTGTGGCCTAGCCATTTTACAGGG